GAAGTAAAAGAGTTTCAAGAGCGTCAGTTAGCTATGAGAAAGCGTCAGCAAAAGGCTGAAGATAAAGCCCAGAAAGCAATGGAAATCGCCACCAGATACACGGCTGAGGCCCGTGATGAGAGAGCCGTTAGAAGAGCCCGAGAAGCTCTCAAGAGAGAAATCGAGGAGACATGGAAGAATGCTAAATAATTTTCTTGATACTCAAGTCTTTGATTTTCCAAGATCTCTCCTAAGAATTTGGGAGAAATAAAGTTTTCATTTCTTTATTCTCGCTTTTTTGAAATTAACATCTCATCCGTCAAAATCTCACTTTGACAAACACACAAAATGAGAGTTTTGATAACAACCGTCACCTCCCGAATACTGACAAAAGTATCAAACAGATTCATATGTGTACAGCAAGGACCAAACACCACGGCTAATTGCCAATTTCATAGGCTGTTAGCCATTTTGTCTGGCTATTTGCCATTTTTCACGGCTATGAGCCGTTTTCTATGGCTAATAGCCAAATTTGACTGCCACTTTACAGCCAAGTCTACGCTATATATGCGCCGATAAGATCCCATTTTTGGCGCAAATGTGGCATCCTCTTGGCTTATATATGGCGCGACTTTGGCAGTAGTTTGGCACGGGGCGAGTGCCATATACATATGGCAACCGCCCCAAACACGACGGCTATTTGCCAAAAATTACGTGAGGAGGTTGTTCCGAAAAAATGTGACTGAAAACCAGAGAATCAAAACTTTGGTACTAGCTTTTTTTTAATGTTTTTTTTCGGTTTTTGGCTAACATTTTCCAATAAATTATATATGATATACATGCCAGTTGGTAGATTAAAATTCTCTATCGATTGATATAAATAACGTATAGGTTCCTTTCAAAAATTGGGGTTATGAACTGAGAAAAAGCCGCGAGCCAAGTAACAAAGACCCGCTGCATACTCAGAGCGGGATATCTCGATCGCTTTTGAATCTAACAAAAAACTTTCAACTAACAAAATACTCAAAATGCTTTGCTTAACATTTTCTTAGTCCACAACTTTTTGATATTTCCTAAGCCTACCGAGATAGGCTGCTCTGAACAAACAGTGGGCATCAGTAGCCATAAAACTCACGTATCACTAGTAAGCAAATACAAATCCCTGCTCTTATGCACACAATTTCCAAGGTTTCCAATTGAATTGTGCGTGATGTTCAGCTCACTGCCATTTTCCAGCCATACTCCAGTCCATGGCAATCGGCATCTCGACCCTGGAAAAGTAGTTTTTTAGGCTTTTTTGTTGGTTCAAAGGGTCATTTTTCATTTTGAAAATTTTTCGGAGGGTGGAGGCTGTCCTTGGATTTCAGACCCATTTTCAGAACCTCCTCCAATGGATTTTAGTACCCCCTTAGAAGTTTCCCCCAGACATTCCCCAAGATTCCCTCTCTAATTGAGCCACTTCCGTCTTTATATGTACATACATATACATCCCCCCCCCCTTTGCTAACTTTGCATATGTGTATCTTTCTAAATGTTCTGTTCGAATGACATTGAATCCCTATGGGAGTTTTCTTCAGAAACATCATCATTATTACCCTTTTGCTCTCTCTCTCTCTCTCTCTCTCTCTCTCTCTCTCTCTCTCTCTCTCTCTCTCTCTCTTTTCCAAAATATGTACTAACTAAAAAATTTATATATGGGTGGTCTTGGTCACGCAATATACGTATATTTTTTGTTCAGATGAAGGTTTTTCTATACGTGTTTGGGGAGGAATGGAGGGGAAGATAAGGGTAAACAATGGGTTTTTTGTAGTTTTTTAGGGAATAAATATTTTTTGAGGGGTGACCAGAAGCAAAATTGGAAGGAAAAGTGGAATTTGGAGTTATTTTTAGAACTTTCAGATATTTGATAAAGAACGTTACTCAGACTTCAGAAGGGTGTATAG